ACCACTGTGCCATCCACTGGCCCCTTTCACTCTCTGTTTGCCAAAGGAGCATGTGCTCTCCAGAAAGGGAGCAAGAAAGAAAGCACTCCCTCCTGGGACCTGGTCACATTGCAATTCTTCTTCCTCTGTATCACCTTGTGGCAAGAATTTTGGGTCCAGAACTCTTCCGCATTGTCAGAATCAAATGAGCATAAAGTCCATGGCACACCTCAGCCCTGCGTTTCTGTAGTCAAGCATTTTGGGTAACACACACCTGCTAGGGCTGGGATTTGAACCTCCGTTGGCCACACGGGGTCCAGCTCCCCTAACTGCTGCACCATGGAGCCAGCATGTGATTTTTAAAACAATGTACAGGGAGGGTCGCAATTATAACTATGGATTTTGCAGATTGCAGTAATCACATTACCCACATGGAAACATCGCAAATGTTCACCAAGAGGAGACTGCTTAAATAAATTACACATAGATATACATTGGAGAGAAATTTTAGAAATAAAAATATATGCATTAGGGGACCCGCAGGTGGCATAGCAGTTATGAATTGGGTATGTAGTGGGTTGTTGAAAAAGTCATGATGCATTGTTGCATAGAAAAATCCGTCATGACTTTTCCGATGATCTGACATATGAACAACAGTATAGGTTAGTGTATGCACTTTTAAACATTCAGAAGACTGTATCCCTAAGGGAGCTCTCTGGGGTGTGAAACGCTGGGGACGCGGTGTTCTGCAGTATGCATTTCTGCCCCATTTGCACATCGTATTACAAGCATGTATTGTTGCTGCAAGGAGAACCATGCTAACGTGAGGGAGAGAGAGAGAGAAAGATGGATGGAAGGAAGGAAGGACTGTAGTGGACATTTGTCCTCCTTCTGGTCACCAGCATCTGAACTTCGGGGAGATGGATAATTTGCCTGTCTGTCAAAGTTCTGTGTCCCACCATGGAAGTTCTCAGGGGGCTTCCTGTGCCAGGGCTTCTGTGCCTGTGCTGTGGAAGGTGCATGGAGACCACGCCAAAGCCTGGCCTTTGCCCCAGGGGAGTCCGAGGCAGCCCAAGGATCCATGGTGGGACATAGGTCTCTACCCTTTGCAGAGGTAAAAATGATTCTCTAGGGGCCGGCAGGTGGTGATGTAGTTGGGGCGCTGGACTCCCACATGGCCGACTGTGGTTCAAGTCCTGGACCTGGAGGCTTGCTTTCTCACTTTCCCCAGTCTCTTTCTCTCTCTCTGGTCAAATTAAGAAATAATCATGATACATAAAATTAAATCATTATTTAAAAGAAAGAAAATGATTCTCTAATGTAAGGCAAGAAGGCAGCAAGTATGGGAAGGACACTCCATGACTCAGGAAATCACAGGACTGAACGGTGAAGACTGAGGAAGGGCTAAGCCATCATGGACCTTGTCTAGCCAGTCCTCCCACAGGGAGCTATGACAACTCCCAGCTCTGGGCTCTCAGACCAAGGCCCAAATTCCTGCAGGGGAGACGCGGTGAGGCTGCAGAGGCACAGAGAGCACTGGGTCGGCAGAGCCATCCCAGGCAAGGCAGTTGTCTACAGAGGTAACACAGAGGTGTCCCAGAGCCGCCATGGCAAAGTTCTGTGGGTGGGGGGCTTACACAGAAGACGAGTATTGTCTCACAGTTCGGGAGCCAGAAGTCTGAGATCAAGTTGCCGCGAAGGTCTTTCCTTAGGAGGCTGTGGGGGAGGCTCTGCTCCGTGCCTCCCTCCTAGCTTCCCTGTCTGCCGACAATCTTTGGTGTTCCGTGGTTTGTGGACCCACTGCCCTGACCCCTGCCTGCATGCACACCTGGCATTCTCCCTGGGCGTGTCCGTATCCAAATTTCCCCTTTTAGTAAGGATGCCAGTCCAATTAGATTGCTATATGGCCTCAGCTTAACCAGTCACATCTGCAATGACCCTATTTCCAAATAAGTCACATTCTGGGGTAGTGGGCATTAGGACTTCAGCATAGGAATTTGTTGTTGGGGGCCCACAGGTGGTGTAGTGGTTAAGGTGCTGGACTCCCACAGGGCAACCACAGTTCAAGCCCTGGACCTGGCAGCTTGAAACACGCTGGGCACGTGTGCATGTGTGCCCCAAATCCCAGGAGAATGGAGGAGAAGTGATTGTAGCACGGCCATCCTCCTGAGGGGTGATTTCTCACTTTCTCTCTTGCTGTCTCTCTCTGGCAAGCGCACACACCCTATAACAAAAACCTTTAAGAAAAAGAATTTGTTGTTGGGGGGAAAGAGACAGACACAGTTCAACCCATAACTGTCAGAGTCAAGCTCAGAAGAAAGATGTGGGCTTGCGAGTCACTGACATACGGTGGGAAGTCTCTGGCAACCAACCTGAGCAGGGACAGTCACGGAGCCAAAGGAAAAGCAGGGGAGTGTGCGGTTAGGAAAACACAGGTGAGCGAAGCCAGGGTCTGAATGTGTCGCCTCAGAACTCACGTGCTGGGAACCAGCAGTTAGCGTAATGGCTATGTCGCTGGACTCCCACGTAGTCAACCGCGGTTCGTGTCCCGGACCCGGTGGCTTAAAACTCATGCCGGGCATGTGTGCGTGCGTGCCCAAGATCCGGAGAGGAGAATGGAGGAGAAGGGACTGCGGCGTGACCATCCCCCCTGGGGGGTGATTGCTCGCTTTCTGTCTCTATGTCTCTCTCTGTCTGTCTGGCGAGCGCACGCGCCCTACAGTGAAAATCTCTCAAAAAAAAAAAAAAAAGAACTCACGTGCTGAGATTTGGTTCTGGGGTTCAAAGTGTGAATACTGGCCGCCAGCAGGTGGCATAGTCATTAAGGAGCTGAACTCCTATGTGGCTGACCATGGTTCGAGTCCCAGACCCAGAGGCTTGAAATTCGTGTGAGGTGCATGTGCACCTAAAAATCCCAAGAGGAGAATGGAAGAGAAGAGATTGCAGCATGACCATACCCCTGTGGGATGATCTCTCTCTCTCTCTCTCTCTCTCTCTCTCTCTCTGTTTCTCCAGTGAGCACATGTACCTATAGCAAAAACAAAAAACAAACAAACAAAAAAACCTCTAAAAAAATGTGTGAATACTTCATTGGACTACGGTGTTGAAAAATGAGGACTTTGGGAGGAGATGAGGATTAAGATTGTCAGGGTGGGACCTCGATGATTGGTGGGTTTATAAACCAGGGTGGGTTTATAAAGAGAGGGAAGGAGACAGACATGCTCACTTGATTCTGCTCGGTCTTGCCATGTGACTCACCAGGAAGAAGACCCTCAGCATGTGCAGCCCCTGGACCCTGGACCTCCCCGCCATGAGCTAAACACTCCTCTGTCCTTGCCAACACTGAGTTACCAGATTCAGCAGGCCTGGGTGGAACCAGTCGGGATTCAATCTCTCTCTTTCACTCTCAGAGCATGTTCCTTTTGAGAGAGAGAGGGAGATAGGCACCCCAACAGGTTTACCACACCCCAGTCCCAGCAGACTAGCACATGCTTAGGGAGGTCCCAGGAGGAGAATTGAGGACCTTTCCTATGTGGGTCTAGTTACACCATGACTGCTCCACCTCCTGGATATAGGAGTGTTTTGTTGTTTTATTTTTTTGGTGGAGTGTTGTTTGTTTGTTAATTGCTAAGGACTCCAGTATCCTCCAGAGGGTGAGGAGAGGAGCTAGCACCATGGTCACTGCTGCAGTCCCTTCTCCATTTCTCCATCCCTCAAGGATCCGGACAAGCTCCCGTACACAGGTCAGGCATGTCTTTCCAGCTCCCAAGACCCCACCCACAGTCGGCCATGTGAGATCTGGCTCCCTTTACCTCTAGGCTACAGGGCCAGTGGTGAAGCCACTCCAGCCAGCTGGAGTCTGTATTTTTCTTTTAAGATTTTTGCCAGAGGGCGCCTGCACTTGCCAGAGAGAGACAGAGAGAGACAGTGAGAGACAGTGAGAGGGAAAGTGAGAAAACACCCCCCCTACCACCACCATACACACAGCCAGGTTGGCCATGCCACAATCCCTTCTCTTCCTGGGATTTTGGGCAGGCATGCTTCATTCAGGACTCGAATCCCAGTTGGGATGTGGGAATCCAGAGCCGTAGCCACTATGGAGTCTGTATTTTTGTTTATATTTATTAATTTTTTTTTGAAAGAGAGATTTTTGCTCTAAGTGCCTGCACTTGCCAGAGACACAGAGACAGAGAGACAGAAAATTAAAAATTGCCCCCCAGGGGATGGTCACACTGCAATCCCCTCTCCTCCATTCTCCTCTGGGACTTTGGGCATGCACACACATGCACCCAGCGTGAGTTTAAGCCACTGGGTCTGGGACTGGAATCTTGATCCACCACATGGGAATCCAGCAATGTAGCCATTATGCCATTTGCTGGTCCCTGAAGTCTGTATTTTTAAAATAGTATTCACTGGCCAGAAGGTGGTGTGGTAGTTAAGGGTCTTGGACTCCCACATGGTCAACTGCGGTTTGAGTCCTGGATCTGGTGGCTTGTTTTCTTTTCTTTTCTTTTCTTTTCTTTTTTTTGGAGAGATTTTTGCTATAGGGCGCGTGCACTCACCAGACAGACAGAGAGAGACAGAGAGATAGAAAGTGAAAAATCACTCCCCGGGGGGATGGCCACACCACAATCCCTTCTTCTCCATTCTCCTCTTGGGATCTTGGGCAGGCACACACACGTGCCCAGCGTGAGTTTAAGCCACCAGGGTCCGGGACTCGAACCGCCATTGACTACATGGGAGTTCAGCGACATAGCCATTATGCTACCTGCTGGTCCCTGGTGGCTTGTTTTCCCACTTTCCTCTCTCTCTCTCTCTCACTCTGTCTAAAGTTCATTTATTTTAATTTGATGGAGGGTGGGGAGGGTGGGGGGGTGGTTGTGAGAAAGCAAGCCACCAGGTACAGACCAAACCATAGTCGACCATGTGAGAGTCCAACGCCTTTAACCACCACGGCACCTGCCGGCCCCTAATATAATTCTTAAAAATAAAAAAATAATCCGTATTCACATCCGACCAGAATGAGGAACCCTGTGCTAGACCACACCGCACGACGTAAGGGCAGGAAGCCAGGCGCCTCCCGTGAACAAAACACGCTCTTTTTCATACATTCCTCCATCTTCAAGGAGTCGGGCCTCCAAAGTCGCTGGCCCTGCGACTTGTGACCGTGGGGCGGAAAGGTCGCGTTGGGGATCCTCAGGACTGGCGCCCTTTCCCTCACTACACTGTCCGGACAACCAGAGGTGGCACCTTCCCGCAGGCCGCCCCGTTTCCCTTGGACTCCGTTTTTTCTGGCAGGCTTGGCCAATCGCTTCCCCGCAAACTGAAACTCAAAACCAACACTACCGTCGAGGGTGGGGGGAGAAAACGGATAAGGCCAGGGACAGAAAAGGAAGGGGCGAGGCCGGGCTCCGGGTTCTCGGCCACACGTCCGCAAGCAGCACGGCGCCCCTCAGAGCGACCGCTTCTGGGGAAGCCTCTCCGCGGGGGCCCGCTGTTCCTCCCGGGTTCGCGTCCCGTGTGCAGGCGGGGCTGGCACCCAGAGGGGGCGTGGCCGACGGACCTCAGCCACAGTCAATCACAGCAGGGACCGGGGGCGTGACTTGAAAGCGGCTGGACCAATCCGGACTCGGGAGACGAAGCTGAGTCTCTACCTGGGCCCAGGTGCGCTCCGCCCCGCATCTCCTGGTAGCTCAGCGCGCGGGGCGGGGTGGGCCGGGAAGGGTGCGGGAGAAGGCCTAGCCCGGGCCGAGCTCACATTGGAGCCCGTGGGAAGCCAGGGCCCGGAGCTGCAGCAGCCGCAGGTCCCCACGGAAGCAGAACAGCCCAAGAGTCCGGAAAGCAGCCCGAGTCTGGCCAGGACCGCGAAGGAG